TTTGCTATTTGTTGCGAGCGAGGACTATTCATAGTGGAGTTTGTTCTATTGTGTAGATGAGATGGCGTGATTCAGTGTCTTATGATGATCCCTTCTTCCAGGAGGAATATCACTGCTATGAAGATGAGGACATTGCCATGATCATGTTGAGTGACATGGAGAAGAACAAGCAGCTGAAACAACCGTTCTGTTGTCGTCCATGAGGTGACTCGTAGGAGGAGGCTAGATAGCCCTAATAGAGTAATGCACATTAGGGTTTATGAACAATTTTGTGCTGAATTTCAGGTTATGGATTGAAGAAATATGTAACAAAGTACTAGTACCATTTGTGTGGGATTTATTTGTCATCAATTTCATATTATTCAGAACATTGCATATGCAAAAAATACATATGGTGAAAATAGAACCTGGAATTTAGGTACCTAATTTTTATATACAATGTAAAAGCATGATTGTTTTTGGTTACCATAGCCAAAATATTGGTCTACCCTTGGAGATGATCTAAGCTTGTTCCACGACCACCAAAGGCACCACCATTGACGGCTAGTACCATACTGATTGTGACTAAACTACTCTAACTCAAGTCAGTTGACTTAGCAGTCACTAACATGTGGGCCCTTTCACAAGCTGGCCACACGTCAGTGACCGAAAGTCATCACATTACTTAAGTCAGATCACGCGAAATTACAACTTTGTCCAAAGTTAAATTTGTCAAAAAAAAAAACATCGATTCCCGCTGCCACCGCCACCGCCTCCTACCCGGCTACTTTTCGGTTGCTCGTCGATCAACGGCTTATCCAAAACCCTTTCCCTTTCTTACTTTCCTGGATCTCACATCGGGAGTACTGTTCCAACCAGCTTAGTTAATGGCGCACACATCATCATCCACAGCAAAGCTGCGGTCCGGTGTGCCCGATTTGCCTCCATCCACGCGCAGAAATTCGGACCTCCACTGCCTGGCCGCTAGCTAGCTAGCCAGGCAGTACCATGTCACATGGAGCAGTTAAGCTAAGCCAGTAGTAGTGCATTTGTTACGGAGCGCGTGCGTGTGTGGACAGCAGCGACAGCACAGTGGGTGTTGGATCTCCTCCACTGCCCGCGAATCTACGCCCACAGCCCACAGCCATGAGTTGCTGGCCTCCATCGCCCACAAGCGATTGACATGGTCGTACTTCTTCTTCTTCTTCCCTGCAAATCAACCGGCACCCAATTTTTCCCATCGCCTAGCTAGCCACCTACCTCTGGGTGTGTGTCTGCATGGATAAATCATAAATGGATTGCTGGATTCGATGCTGTGGATGAGCTTCCCCTCCCTCTATCCGATCCGTCAGGCCACCGCTCCCCTAGCTTCCTCCTATCCACCGTCTCCTCCTACCTCACCTCAGCTAGCTAGCTCCACTAGAAACTAGTAGTATCAATTGCTATTTCAGCTGGGCGACTCTCCCAATCTCGGTCCATTCCATCTGATCCTTGCCCGGTCGATCGATCGCGGGACGAAGAACAGCACGCAGATCATTCTGCACGTTGATGCGTGCAAGAGGTCTGATTGCTGAAGATAAAGATGAAGAGCAGCAGTAATCTCGAGGCCTTCCTCCAGGCCGCAACGCCCCTGCTCCCATGGCGCTCCAGCACCATGGTACGTGATCGATCCATCTATCCTTAGTTCCTTACAAACCGGCCATGGCAGGTCCTCTGCTTTTACCAGCAAAACGGCTCTGTTTTGCTCTGTTCTGAGCGGTTTCACTCTTGTCTCTGCTCGGCAGGAACGGTTCCAGGGCGCGCCCAGCAGCGTGTGGCAACAGCCGGACGGCAAGAACAAGGACGCCGTGGAGTACTTCGCCCTGTCCGACCTGTGGGAGCACTACGCCGAGAGCAGCGCCTACGGCCTGGCCGTGCCCGTCCGGGACGCCGGTGACCGCGCCGTGGTCACCACCATGCACTTCGTCCCCTACCTCTCCGCCGTCCAGCTCTACACCGCCACAAAGCCCACCTCGCACACCCTCGGCGCCACCTCGAGGTAAATAATTGATCCGTCCATCATAGTTCCTTCTTGGGTGGCCGGCCATTGATTCATTTCTTGCTGCGCAGGAGCACGGGAAGTGAGACGGATTCGTGGAGTGACGACAGTGTGGGCGACCGGTTCGCCAGCTCCGGGTCCTCCTCGTGGGACGCGGCGTCAGAGGAAGACGATTCTTCTTGCACCTATGACGGCAACGGCTCCGCCGGCGTTTCCACGAAGCAGAGCGGGTACCTGAACTTTCAGTACAGGGAGTGGGATTCGCCCTACGAGAGAGTGCCGCTGGCTCACAAGGTACATCTTGTCATCATTCATCATCATCATCAGAATGCAGAAACATTATGCAGTTCTTGGGTCAATCTAGGTTGCGAGTTAGTGTGCTGTTGTTTTCTCAAGTGTTCTTGGTGTTGCTCGAGCAGGTGGCGGAGCTGGCTCAAGATTACCCGTGCTTGATGTCCCTCAGCAGCGCGGAGCTCTCGCCGTCCAGTTGGATGTCCGTGGCATGGTACTTAATTAACTAACCCACTTGGATTTCTGACATCACTCCACTGTTCTTTACTTATTTGTTGGTTGGTCGTGACATTATTTTGTTAGCATTATCTTGCTGAGGTATGAATGGTGTCGTTTAACAAATCAACATTGACTTATCTATGGTCATTAGGTACCCAATATATCACATCCCTGCTCATGTCAACTTGAAGGGGTCCTCTGCCTGCTTCCTCACCTATCATTCCATCTCATCGGTCTTTCAAGGTACATATTTACCATCTGCCACGTACATTGGTTGTGAAGAACAACCAATTTCTTCCACCATGGCAATGTAGTAGGAAGCAGGTAATTTGCAGTCATTGATGATGCTAACAAGCGCCGTTGTTTCTTCTCCCGCAGACAACATACACAACGGACCGGAGCACGACGATGGTGAGATCGCCGCGCTCTCGCCGTTCGGGCTGGCCACGTACCGGATGCAAGGGGATTTGTGGAGGAGGCCAGGGTCATCGGACCCCAGGAGGCTGTCTGAGCTCCATTGGGCGGCGTCCTCCTGGCTCAAGCAAGTCGGCGCGCACCATCCTGACTTCACCTTCTTCACGTCGTCTCACCGTCGATGACATGACACCTAGTTTATTCCGCGTGTGTTTCGGTGCATTGCATGGTGTGAAGATATGACACAAAGGATTGCTTGTAGGATTTGATAGAACAACACGAAATGGGTTTTTGTTCTTCCTCTTCTTTCTGAACTTGCAGGAAGATACAGTAACTTGTTGAACCGGTCTGTGTGGAATTGAGTGTCCAAGCGAATGGCCTCTGTTTTCTTCACTGACGAGCATGCATCATGGAGGTGCAGACATAACGTTCTCAAGAATTTGCAGTTCATGAAATGTGGCCTCAGGGGATATAGTTTGAGTGTAATCCACCTACTTTTACATCTTGGATTCAATGTACTTCACTGCCTTATGACATTCTTCGTTATGCACCCTGCCTCCTATTTGGAGTACAAAGATGGAGGAGAAATACATGATCTTTCGCGATGCTGCTAGGAGAATTATTGTTTTGGATTCACCTTATTTTCAGTTGGATTTTGCATATGCAAATGTCATTACAAGATATCTATACTCTACCAATACAGAAAGCTTTTTTTTTGAACAAATGGGTAATTCCGGCCTCTGCATTATCATGATGCATAATATCATAATTTATTTAATTGCAAATATCTTACAAAAAAGTCTCAGTAGCAACAATTGAAAGAAATAAAAAGATAGGACCACAACCGGCCAGCAAAAGGATTACATGACTCAATACATAAATCTTTTTTTTAACAAAGGGGTAATTCTATTAGTGACACGCAATCCAAACCAATTGTTGCACCCCAAGGCCATATGATCCGTGTAGATAAATTGAAAAAAACTGGAGAGTGATCTGTTGAAAACCTAGTCATCCCGACAATTCCGTATTGCGATAGTAAGGCAGAAACCCCCACTTGGATATGTTAAGCTAGTGGTGGTTACCAACCAAGCAGATCCCCAAAAAAATTTGCGATGCTTGTTGGCAATGCTAGGTTGGATGCTACACGAAACCGTGCGCCATACCAAAGCATTGAATGCACAGGAGATAAAAAAATGTTGCATTCCGTCGTCTTGATCACGAAGCAATATGTTCTGCGTCTGTGCAAATTTCTCTTTGCTAAATTATCCTTAATAAGAATTACCCCCATTTGAACAAACCACATGAATACTCTAATTTTAATTGGGACAATAATTTGAAAATTTATTTTCTACAAAATATCGACGTACGTGGGATACCTTTGAACTCAATCATCCGATTCAGATCGTTTCATAGACCAAATAGCAATTCTTGGATTTTTTTTGTTGTTCTCTCTTCTGTCTTTTTTCTCCATTTTTGGATCTATTCTCTTTTCTGAGATTTTTGGCTCTATGTTCAAAATTTCAATGCAATATTTCTAAAAATGATCCAATTTCTAAAACAATGTTCATGAATTTAAAAAATATCTTAATGATATGAATTTCAAAATGTTTGCAAATTCCAGAAATGGTCACGAATTTCAAAAAATGTTCACCACTTCAAATAAATATATTTGGATCACAAAAAAATTGTGAACTCGAAAACTATTTTCAAATTTTGAAAAATGTTCCAAATTTTAATAAATGTTCACATATGAAAAATGTTCCAATTTCAAAACAATTTCCTAAATTCGAAAAATGTTCACAAATTAACAAAAATGTTTGAAAATTAAAATATTCTAAAATTGAAAAAATGGTCATGAATTTTAATTTTTTTCTAAATTTCTAATAGTAAAAACCAAACAAATATAAATAAAGTGAAAAGTTGAAAGAAAACAAACAGAAAAAAGTGAAAATGCAGTGCAGGGAAGGTCTTTCCCAAAGCCGGTGAAAGGAAGACACAACCTATCTCGTAAAATGGGTTGGCCAATACAACATTGTTGCCTCTAGAGGTGCCCATTTCGTCGTTATCCCTGTGGTACGTGGGGAATATGATTCCCCGAGGAAGATTGTGAGGTTGAACAGATTGGCAGACCCACTGATAGAGATTTAAGATATTCTTCGGTCCACCCCGATACTGCTTTCACCCTCATTAGCACATCTGGCTAGAGATCAGTTATATCAGGCAGTGAGCGATATGGTACTATCTTTCGCCTCATGATTTCTCCGATACCACCTATCCAAATAAATCCATTAGAACCGCTAAATCATCTTTTTGAGGTGCTATATCCAATGTACTGGTCTGATAATTTCTAGACACATTGATATTATAGCTAAATAAAAATGTAGAGATTTGTCGACTGGATTTATCAATGAACGAGGAACCTATCATTGGAAGTTTCTAGATATTTTGAAATAAAATTTGAAGAAATAATTTGTAAAAATAACTTTCTAGATAGCTTGATAGACTTTTACAATCAGATTTCATTTTTTAACAATTTTCTAAACCAGCACAAAAAGAAAAATAAGAAGGCATGAGGATCCACAAAAGAACAAGGTTAAAGCCATTGTAACCATAGCTACTGGAAATGTTGCTATTAGAAAATGTTGCTGACATGATATTAATGGGATATAGGGTATGAGTGATAAGATGGAGGCTAGAATTTGGCTAGTGCATCAAAGCAGATGGAAAACAAGGGTGGCGAATGGGCACAAGGGTCGTTGTTAGACACGCCTCCTCTTTGTCTGCGCCAACAACCGTCAGCTGCCATGACGCAAGCGAGGGTCGCCGTCACACACTGCTGGTCTCCTGGTCTGCTGCTGATTGGGCGACGATCCCGAGGAGGATATGTTCCCCAAGTATGGACACAACAAATATGGCACTTGGGGGTCAATTTCTTCACCATTTTCCTCGCCGTTTGTTCCTGCAACCATACCAGAGGACTCATGTGCACTGTTAGGAGGGTTAGTCAGCATTGAATCATCACAAGTATTCCCCCCTTGATCAAGGCCAGTGAAGTGAGATGGCAAGAGAAGAATTTCTTTGTGAAGCAATGCGCCGGCGTTGGGATGAAGATCAGCGAAAGGAAACTTGGTTTCGTCAAAAACAACGTCACGGGAGATATAAACGTGCCCCGAAGACACATCTAGGCATTTTACACCTTTGTGTTGAGCGCTATACCTAAGAAACACACATTGCTTTGAGCGAAACATGAGTTTGCATTGATTATATGGACGAAGATTTGGCCAACATGCACACCCAAAGACGAAGAGACATGTAGTCAGGTTTGGTATGGAGTAGCCTTTCTATTGGAGTTTCATTATTGATAACACGACTGGGAAGCATGTTAATGATGTGAACGGCAGTGAGAAAGGCTTCATCCTAGAATTTGAGAGGCATAGAGGCGCCAGCTAAGAGAGCTAAACTGACATCAACAATGTGCATGTGCTTGTGTTCGCCAGATCCTTTTTGTTGGTGAGCGTGGGGGCATGCCACATGATGAGAAATGCCGAGAGTTTGAAAGAAAGAATTTAATTTCTCATACTCTCTGCCCCAGTCTGATTGGACAGCAAGTATCTTGCTGTCAAACTTGCGTTCAACGAGTGCTTGGAAGTTTTTAAAGACTTGAAAAACATCGATCTTTTCTTAAGAAGATAAATCCAAGAGAATTTACTGTAGTCATCAATGAAGCTCACATAATACGTATGTCTACCAACTGAATTGGGGGCAGGACCCCAAACATCTGAAAAAATTAACTGCAACGGTTTGGTAGAAACACTACTAGAGATAGGATAGGGTAACTGATGACTCTTAGCTCGTTGACAGGAATCACAAACAGTTTCAATATTGTGCTCACCAACAAACGGGAGCTTATTCTTTCTAAGCAATTTTTCAACTAAAGAAAAAGAAGCATGTCCTAAATGATCATGCCATCGTGTGGGTGAAAGCTTGATAGCACCACAAGCTTGTTTACTCAGTCTCCTAAGCTCCGGAATCAAGTGATAGAG